TAAAGGTGAAAAATATGAAATTCCAATTATTTAATGCATGTAACAATTTCTTAATTAAGTTATGTTGGACCATACGATATCACACGTCAATTTCAAGATGTGAATATATGCATTTATGTAATAAGTTTTTTAAAATTTCTTTATTATTATTTAATTACTTTTTTTAATATGAAATTTACTTAAAATTTAAATCTATTAATGGGAAGTTTAGATAAAATTAAGTGAATAATGATTGATTTAGGACATTTGGAAGTTAGATTAAATAATTGGTGTGGTGACACGTCATAATCATCATAAAATTAAGGGATTAAGCTAAGTGTTATTGGATTAATCTATTTAGAGTTAACCTTTTTTTAGGTTAAAAATTATTTTTTAAAGTATTAATTTAGTTATTGAAATTTTGTGAATGGATAAATTATTAACCTAATTAATAATTTAATATATTTTAAATTGTTAAATAATAGAAAAAATTGTTATACAGTAGAATAAATAAGTGATTAAATTGTTAGGATTTTAGTGAGTAAATAAAATATTTAAGTTAAAAAATTAAGTATAAAATCATTATTTTTACGAAAATTTATGAATTAAAAGTGTTTTTTGTTTTTTTGAAATTTGATTTTTTATTTTTGGTTAAATAAAATGTGTCATTTTCCGTGAAGGTAAAATGATAATAATATTATTATTAATTAATTGATAATCATAATATTATTAATTATTAATTATTATTATTATGTGGATAAGGGAGTGGGGCCATTTTCTTAGCCGGCTGCTGATGTGGGCATTTCTGTCTATTCACACACAAAAATAAATAAACCATCGCTAATAATAATTTAAAAAAGAGGCGGGTGGTGGAAAATCGGTCATTTTTTTAATTAAATTTCCAATAATACTTAATATATTGCAATTGATACGATTCGAACAAACAAATACGCAACGTCTTGAGCTCCTCACATGGGACATTAATTATGATTATAATTATAATATTAAGACTATATATTTTAAACCTAGTTTTCTTTTTCAACGCTATATCGAGAAAATTTAAATAGAAAAAGCTGATATAAAGACGTTGATTACTATATAAAATGTAATAGTTCGATTTGTTATTATACAATTTTTTATACGTAAAAAGACGCCAAAAGTATATTATTATTTGATTACTTACTTATCTTGATTAGGTTTGACAAAAAAAAAAAAAAAAAAAAAAAAAAAAAAAAAAATTTA